GCTATCTTCGCCAAGATCCTTTCCTTGGAGTGGGTGGGCGGAGTTGAAGGCACTGATTTCTTCCAACAGGGCCTTTAACTCGGCGCTCTTCTTCCAGATGCTGGCAAACTCATCTGGCGATCTTGGTACCTTGTCTTCGAAACCAGGTTGTATGATACGCTCCACCGGGTTTGTCAAAGATGTTAGGAAGTCGGGGGTTGTGGCACGGCTTGGCCGCACAAAACCGAGGTTGGTGAAGTAAGCGGCGGCAGCATCGATGGGCCCAAAATAGATTTGACGGCCTTCGTACAAGAGCGTGACCTTGTCAAAGTTCTGCGAGAGAAGTTAGAGACTGCAAGTGTGGTTGTTGGGATATGAGGGCAGCCTCGCCTTGTACATAGATTCTGATGCCTGATAGATGCTCATGACCACGGTCGACTGTAGGGCATCTGTCGCGCCTCGCAACAGCTCGATGAAGGCGAGTGCGGTCGAGCTGTCGAGGCCACGGGTGCTGTTGTCCCAGCATTGAAACGGAGCACCGCTAATGAAGGCCTCCGCAAGGCTGGTCCTTTTCTTCTCGCCGCCGCTGAGACCCCGGATCATAGCATCGCCAACCTTGGTGTCGATGGCGCCGTCCAGGCTGAACAAGGAGGCAACATTGCGCCCCACCTTTGAAGAGATGGCATTCCGGTCGGCACCCTTCTCCCTAGTGCTCGCTGCAAAGGAGAGGGTCTGGCCGAGGGTCAGCTCGGGGAAGTGAACGTCCAGCTCGGCCAGATATATGGATTCTCCCTTGAACGTGCGGCGCATCTGGTCATACGAGATGCCCTCGTAGTTGATCTCAGATGTCTTGGCAATGTGGAAGCCGTGGGCATCACCAGACAAGGTCTTGAGGAAAGTAGAGCATCCGCTGCCAGGGCGTCCCAGGACCAGCAGCATCTCCCCACGGTTGATCAAGCCATCAAAGTCGTGCAGGATCTGGACGCGCTGTGGAGCGTTATTCCGTGCAGAGAGGAGATTGGCGACGAGGCGGGGGATCGTAAGACCATACGATGTGAAGGTCTCCTGGTATCGCTCCGACGACATGAATCCATATGCGTGGAGGTGGCGGAATGACACGCCAAGCCGCAGGTGCTGTTCGGGGTCTTTGCCCTGAAGCCATTGGCGGAATGCTGGCGAGGAGCGGGTGCTGGACTCTGCAGACTTGACGGGAAGTTGCTCGTCCTGGACTGGACCTTCCATCTTTCTTTTGCCACAGGAAGGAACGTTTGGGTTGTGGGTGGCTTGCTCTTGCCGTCGTGGTGTGTCGCACCAAACTTGTCAAGGCTGACGGGCTGTGAAAGTCGGGGGATTCGTATCTTTAAAAGGCCATCTTCGGCGATAGCCTTGGCAAAAAAAGGAAATATCAAATGCGACGCGTTCCGATCGAGCCATTGCCAACAGTCTGTCAGGCCCCAGAGGTCCAGCTCCTTGGGCCAGTGCTGCGAGGGCACGGCACAGGGGATCAGGGATGAGATACCGGGCAGGGCTGCAGGGGTTGAGCAGCAGCACTGTGATGATCCATGATGGCACTGTGAAGCGCCCCAGACAGCTGACCAGCCCACAGGGCTGGACGGCTTTATTCGCACCGTGCAATCCATAATCCAGAGAAAGTACGGAACTGTAATAACCACGACGAGCCCGCTGATATGACACGCGGACTGGTTGGTGAGACTCAGTGTTATCTTATGTAACACGCGGATTTTGGCGGAGGTCAGCGGAGTTCATCACTGAGGTCAGCACTAATTTGTTTATTGGCGTTCCAGAGCCAATCTCTGAATGGCTGCTTCGCTCCTTCCTTCGCCAGGTCCTTGGCAACCAACAGACCCCTGGTGCGCTTCGACCTTTTCAAGCGCCCAACTTCACAGCTCCACTGTCATCATCAGGGTGAGGTCGCCTTATCAATTTTAAACCTAGTCCAATGGTCATTACAAAGTGCCTCCGCTTCGCCAACACAAGCGTGGGGCATGTGTTGGCTGACCGTGGAATTACATGGGCGAAAAGCCAACCTCTGAACCTCATCCTCCCATTGTGCTGGAAGCGCGTCTCGTCTACTCCTCCAATTACCAACGTTCTTGGGTGACGCGCTTTGACGCCCTATTCTAGACGCGATGCGGGTGTCCAGATTGCATTTTGTTTGATCAATAATAAAAATATGAACCAGTTCAGACCAGTTGCATGCCCGTTATTCTCCTATTTCCCAGCATTGGAACCCAAAACCATGTATCAACATCGTTGAGAACTGCCAGGTGTTTCCAAGTTATAGAACGTCCTTCGGAAATCAAGGCAAGCACTCTATAATAGCTGGACACATCATTCCAATAAAAGTACAATAATGGGATTCAGGTAATGGATGTGTTGCGGTTGCCAAATGTCCCACACGCATCCAGGAGGCATGTAAGGCAGTCAATAAGCACAGCAGCAGATAACAGAACTCAGAGTGGAAGTTAGCTCAATGGTTTGCATCCGGGTCTGATCACCATGATCACCATTGCGCCATCCCACTGCTACCTAATTGTGTTACTGTACAGAGGTTTCAACACCTGCTCATCAGGTAGGAATCTTACTGTACATGTACGATACTAGTATTGATGAATAAACTCCTTTTAGGCCCCCACAGCCCAACCACCGTCAGTTCTAAGGTGCATAGAGCAAGCTGCACATCACAATCACCTTCTTCAACAAATATTCGGATAATTGGTTGCACCTTCCAACCTTCTTTTTTGCCTTTCCCCATGTTCCTCCGTTCCTACTTCTTTCTCCCAGGCGGAAAAAATTGCTGCGCATCCAAGCCGTACTCCTTTTTTTTCTCCATTCCCATTCCTTTTCAACCCAGTCCCTGCATTACAGTTTGAGTCATTTTCTACCACTGCCCTTAAGTGGTCCCGCCAGCGAACCTGACCTTCATCCTCACACCATCGATCGGCTTGGCAATCATTCTCCTCGTCTAAAATAAACCAAAGTATTAGCTTAATTAGCGCCTGCATTCCATAATCAGCAGTGTTGATTACTCACATTGTACATCTCCGCCTTGACCTTGTACTGCCCTCGTTCGTTCAACGCAGGACGTCCCTCCCCGTCGAGCGCGCTCTCGCCCAACCCGACCTTCACAAAGTCGTACCTGCGCGTGAACATGTCCTCCTCGCCGCTGTGGCCGTCGCGGGGAGCCATGAGCTTGGTGTACAGAGCTGCCGTGTCAGTACGGGTCTCGGGGCTGAAGATGGAGTCCAGCTCGTCGCCCACCGCCTTGAGAGCTCGCGGCGTGCGGCTCAGCTCGTAGAAGACCCACTGCATGAGACTGGTGTTGCTGCCGTGCCCTGTAAAGACGAAGCTTCGGACCTGGTCGGATGTCTCGGTGAGGATTTCCGGGTTCAGCTTCTCGGTGTCCTGCAGGTTGAGGGCGAGGATGCTGCGGGACTGGTTGCCTGCGACTTTCTCCTTCACCTCGTCGTACTTCTACTAGATCTAGTCTTTGACGAGTTTGTCGAAGTGCCTGCCGAGACGGGCCCGTCTTATTGTCGCCCTGGGGATCGCCCACCATGGTGCGCTGTTGGGGTCGTTGTGGTACGTAGCCATGAGTTCGTCGAAGATTCGGGGTATCCCGCCCTGTTTCGAACGGTCCAGTTGCTGGGCGTTGAGGTCTGCGTCCATCACAACAGCCGTAATGACGTCAAAGGTCAGGTTGGACAGAAGCCTTTTATAAGGGGAACTCGTCTCTCGAGACTACGAACTTGTCGAGGTACCCCAGCAATGGCTTCGTCTTTTCCAAGATGAGGGGAAGGAGACTCCACAGATGCTGGACTGTGAAACTTGGGTTGTATTTCTTGCGTGCTTCCTTCCAGTCTCTCCCCTGTGAGAGGCGTTAATAAATGTCGGCGATCTGGAGCAGATCTTACTCACTTCCTTGCCTAGGATTGATGACTCCCCAAAGATCGGTATCATGTACCTCCATGTGGGCGATTTAGGCGTGCTCAACGGGTACGCTTTACTTGGTGTCGATAATTATCTGCTCGGCAATCTCATGGCTGGTGGCAAGAATCAGCGGCTCGGAAAAAGGCCGCAAGTCGATGAACATGACAGGGGGCCGTACAGGGCCTGCCACATTTTCTAGTGTGCACCGGGATTCACACAAACTGCCCTCGCATAAAAGTATCTTGGCGGCTGCGCTACCCCATCAAAATCCTTCGAGAAAGATATATCCGCATCGAGTAACAAGGCAGCACAGGGGATCACAAAGTTGTCCAAAGACAAAGACTGGATGTTAGCGCACTCATATTTCTTCACGTGAAGTTGCATCACATCAAACAAAGATGAATAGATATGTCTTACTCACTGAACTGTACTTCCTGACAGAGGCATATCATCGATACAACTTCAGACCGAGGAGGGGGAATAGATTGTGATGAAAATGAAACAGATCGTGACCATCACCATCATTGGGAAAAGGTCCTCATTGATAGTGCAAAAATGAAGATTTCGGATACGGGGAGTCGAACCCCGGGCTGCTGAGTGAGAGTCAGCGATGTTACCGCTACACCATACCCGATTGTCAGGAGGTTTCCTGAGAAGTTGTTGAGAAATGGCTCGAACTGTGGGTATTTGAGAACAATGGCGGAGACGGGAGAAGCGTTTTTTACTTTGTCTCGAAGTTTCTTTGTGTGGGGTTCAGTGCACCATGGATCATGCTTGCGGTCAGACACAGCAGTCCATGGGGAATCGAGTTGCTGCAAACCTCACTCTCAAGGTTTCTGCAGGGACTCGTGAGGCGAGTGGTCATTATTAAGGATGAGAAACATCAGTGTCACAGGTCTTTCACATATCGTTACAAATCAACGGTGTTTGGACAACCTGAAATGCCTTCTCTTTACACACAACTCGGCAACTTTGAGGGCACACCAGACCCGAATCGCAAGCTGCCTGTTAGCAAACTCAAAAAAGAAGACTTTATTCGAGGGTCCCAAAGCCCAAAAATATAAATTGACTGCCCAGTAACAGGATTGAACTGTTGACCTTCGCATAGACTATCTACTGTCTCTCGACGGTATTAGTACGACGCTCTAACCAGCTGAGCTAACCGGGCCATACTGGCTGCTTGTTTGATGAAATCTTTGCAATGTGATGCATGCTATACGGGCAACCTGGTGGATGTGGGTGGAGTTGTTACTGAGTTAGGGCTGTCGAGACTGACTAGCGGTTCTTCTAGTGGAACGGTGCGCGAGAAATGGAAAGCAAGTGCAGAGGTGAATCCCGTTCCAGGTGTCAGCAATTTCACGGCTACGAGACTGCCGTACTTGGTTTAAGGTTGGAGTTGTGTTGAATCTTAGATAACTTCACACAAGCAAAAAATGAAGCCAAGCAAAAGCTCGAAAAAAGGATATGCCCAGTAACAGGATTGAACTGTTGACCTTCGCATGAACCATATATGGCCTGTTAAGACGATATTAGTACGACGCTCTAACCAGCTGAGCTAACCGGGCTGATTTGTTTGATGCAGATGGGAATCCTTTCTTTGTATGAAGGGATGGGGACTTGCGTGGAGACGGGATTTTGTTTGACGGAGCCACAGTGGGCCATCACGGAGCATCGCGAAATAGCCGGCATAGACTTTGTCTACCTTGATGAAAGTCTGTGGAGCAGAAACAGAATCCAGCATCAAGTACTTAGTGATTCAATTGGGGGTTTTTGATGCGCATCACTTTCTTGCTTGGTGTAAGCTGCTGGCAGAGGGTTATTGTCTTGGGATAGAAGTTCATTATTCTGCGGCAGAGTCTCATTGTCACTCGAGACTCGACAAGTCGCCGGCCCATTGTTTCGCCAAAGGCGGAACTTTCTTGTTTCAGCACCCGTGTACGGCCGCAGTTGCTGCTCCCTGTCACTCATGATCATGTTTGAGATGACGATTGACCGTGTATAAAATGCTTCCTCTTCTTGCCGCTGCTCTTTTCCAATTATCCTGTCCCCACCACAATCTCTCACAATACGCTCCATTCATCAACACTTCTTTTACACCTCAACACGCATTACCACATTCAGCCATGTGCAAGTTCGGTTTCACATACGTGTACTGCTCGTTGGCAGATTGCCCATACGGCTATCACACTGAGCACTGGACAAGAACCAGGTCAAAGTGTGAGCTATGCGACGCTGCAAAGCAGAGAAAGAAAGATGCAGGCGGGGAGTGGATCTCTGATTTTGCTTGCCAAAAGTGAACCTCGGGATATTCCAGCGACAGGACCGAGCCATACACTAAGAAACTTTACAACCAGGGTCCGTGTCCTAAGTGCTACCGAGATTACGAGTCCAACTCAGAGATTCTGACACTGAGCAGGTGGTTCGTTTAGGTTGGCTTGGCCATGTCCAAGACCTTAGGAAGGAGCTACGGGTAGATTGACACGAGCTGGGTGTTTTTGCATGCATGTGAGCAAAAGATACGAAAGAAAAGGAAATAAATAAATGAGTACGCAAAGGAGAAGACGGGCGCTTAACGCGTAAACTAGGGGTTGTTTCAATATATATAAATAGACCAAAGAGACATGATGTGGTGCCTTTCAGAACGTCATGTCCAGGACGATAATGCATAGTCACAGTGTTCTTGGTGATGAGGGTTTCCAGTGCCTTGTTCGGTGATCCCTTCGTCATAGCATCGGCCGGGCTGTCATTGCCATGAATCCAGCAGACCTCGAAGTTTTCCTTGCGTTCGTAGGCCTGTCGTAAGCTCATGATATCTTTCGTTTCGTTGGGCCAATCTGAATGTGAATCAAAATATTGTATATCTTTGGGACTAGTGGGTTGCCGGTTCTCTCCAGTTTGAGTACGCAGAGAACCCCCCGACGCCTGCCTCGTCGTGCTTCCTGGAGAATGTGCCCGATCGTGAGCTGTGGCCAGTGCCACGAGGATGCGCCACGAATGCGGATCTCGCCGTGGAGGCGAAGATCTCGTTGCAATCGATGCCTCCTGCTGTTTGAAGCCAGCCGCGGGCGACGTACAAGCCTGAGGCGTAGAGCCTCGATTGCCTGACTGAGCGACATGGCTGTCGACATTTCGAGTGGGTTGCGGTTGGAGGATGAGTTGATGATGCCGAATGGGGTCTTGATTCCGACTGGTGCCTAGAGAAACGAGGGCATCGTCAGGCACCCCCCCTTTCTTCTCGCTCGGCCATAGACGAGTCCCGTTGTGGAGCTTCCTCTGCGTCCGAGTCGGGAGGAAGTGGCTAGGGCATGACATCAACTTGTCCAACAACGGGTCCCAAATGCTTCTTTGGATTTCCAGACGCAGCTCCTTTGCTAGCACATTGTACCCGCCTTTCTTCATTTTTTGGACGTCGGGTGTATTTCTTTTTCCCGCCCGCCTCGAAAAATGCCTAGAAGGACTTTGGACCTTTGGGCCGACCGACCACATTTATGTCTATGTGGGTGGGTGGTTGCGTTGAGAATGAATGTGCACTCCCGTTGCAGCTGGAAAACCAATTGTGCACCGACAAAGAGTGCCACCCTATATCGTCGGGGGTTTTGCGATTTGTCGCGCGTTGTATATCCCTCCCACTCGGCGGGTGAACGGAGTGTATGAGGTCGATAAAGGGCCCTTGGGAAGGGGCTTACCAGGAACGAGACGAGAAGCCGGGCGAGGGATTCATCGCGATGATGTCGATACAATCCTTCCGTGATGCAAATCCATTCTTGGGACTTGGCATACTACTTCTGTTCCGCATACTGACGAGCCTTGGAGCTGCCCGTTGGGAAACGAGTAGGTTGCGAGGGCATCATGATTTTTTTGGCCCTACACGGCCGAACTGGACCATCGGACAATGGATGGAATTGTTGGTTTGGGGATTTGTCGTAGTCGGTGTTGGTCCCAGCTTTTTGCTGCCAACACTGCTAGACAACGCTCCCGCAAGGCAGCGTAGCGCAAGTACTTTCGGGGTCCAACTTAGGAAAGGATCTTTTGGCAGTGTCTGCGGTCGTTGTTGACTGCAGAATGTATTGAAGTACCTTGACCGAACCGAGAGTCCCGTTGGAACGCCTCCTCTGCATTCGGGGAGGAGGTTGCCCTCCACTAGTCCGTCTTCGACGGAGGAAGTGCCAATGCACCCAACAATTGGTCGACTTCCATGTGAAGACAACGAGGGGCCATGAGCGGCACCACACCATCGGACATTGGATGGCAGGTGCTGTGGCGGGGATCGCCGTTGTCGGTATTGGTCCCAGCATTCTCTTCTTTGCTGCCAACACTGCTAGACAACGCTCGGCGTCCTTCTGGGCGAGAGTAGCGCTTTTCTTCCTTCAAGATGCGTACCCTACCATCGCGCAGGCCTCTTGCCTCCTTCTCGGCATACGACGAGCTGGTCTTCCAGGTCTGATGCGCCATGCCTTGGCCATAGAAATCCGCTCCGAACTTTTCATCATAAAAAGCCTTTGAACGAATTGAGATCGGCTTCGTACGAATATCCGACGGCCTCTCCGGGCTTTTCGTCGTCATCGTCGAAGGCAGACCCTTCCTTCCGCCTGCTTTGTCCGTTTGTGGATGAATAGCTGGCCGGCGGGCATCCCCACCACTACATGCAGGGACCCTCGGGGAACCACATTTATGTATTATGTGGATGGTGGTGATATTTGTGACGCAATAAAGAAGAGAAATGACAAAAGGAGAGGGTGGACGCTCTTAAAGCGTAAATTTGGGGGTGTTTTCAATATATATAAAAACTGTCAAGGGACAGTTGGGGAAAAAACCGAATCCAGAAATGGTAATGGTTGGGTGGTGTGAAGTTAGGCGCCATCGGATGCTGAGTTTGCGTGCGCACCACAGTCCTCACGGCCTCCTAGAGCTTTGCGCCGGGTTTGGAAAGAGGCTTTGCAGAACCACCAACCAGCTGAGTGTTGTCATGCATGGTGGTGTGAAAGAAGTCGGTTGAGAGTATGAGCGTGGTTATGTGCATCTCAACAGTGTCTATTTGCGGGTGATCAGCATTGACTTGATGGGCTGTGAGAAGGTGAATGTGTGGGTAGAATCACATTGACGACCAATGGATCGAATCCGACCACGCCGATCCATCATCATCGTGTCTGTTTCCTGCTCCGGGGCACCGTCTTGCCGCTTGTCGGAGGAACGTCCAAGCACTCAGACGTCAATCTAGCTGGCAAACCCAAGCGCAAAATCATCGTACGCATTGGAGGCGCACCAGACCCGCATGACCCAGGCCGGGCGCTGGCTGATCGGCACTTGCGAGATCCGTGATGTCTGCCGAAGAGGAGGTCGCGGTTGCTCTGCAGGTGTGGATGAATGCTGTGGATTCTCAAGTGTTAGTAAAGCTGGTCATTTGTGAAAGTGAAGGGAGGAGGTACTTACTCGAACATGGATCCCGATGATTGGGGTGAGGGCAGCCACTGACGGGAGGATGCCTGATGGTGAAGGCACAACAGTTAGACCCGACTGAGTGTGTCAAAGCGGAAGAATTACTTAGACAGATGGAGGCCTGAGAAGGACCGAGTCGGGCGAAGTTCACCGTGTGCATGCAGCCGGCTGAAGAAGGGTGACTAAGTTGACAAGAGGGTGACGAAGTTGACGAGAATGTCACTAAGCTGACGAGAGTTGACCGAGTTGATCAAGTTGAACGAAAACGAGGACGAAAAAAAGAAGACAAGAAGTGACCCTCAAAGCATACTTAAAGTATACCGCAACCATTCAAGACCCAGGGGAAGGCAGGAGTCAAGTGTGGCTGAGGAAGTTGGCCCGCTTGATGGATGAGATTGAAGTTGACGAGAAGGCGGACGAGATGGTCCCATTTATCTCCAGAAAAACATCCCAAATCATTTCCAAGAATCTGACCCCCGACAGACTTGGAAAGCAAAAGAATCTCCCACCACCCTCAACATTTCTCTTCGTTGTCAGTCTGTGCATTTGTCAGTCAGCCACTGAAACAACAAACGTTTGTATATATGCTCGATCCCGTCGGTCGGGCACTAGCCAACTTGACTCCAGTTCTCTTGGAGACCGCGTTTTTTCGCTCCTTTCTTTTGCAGTCAATGCCAAGCGCGATATGATTTTACGTAGCAATGACATCACAAGCTTGCGAGTGGAAAGAAA